ATAGGCATTCTTCTATTAACAGCCACATTTGGTACTGGCCTTTGGACGGAAAAGGTTAATCTTCGCCTCGTTAAGATCGTTCATTTTGTCGCCTGAGCTTAACATTTTCGAGATGCGCCTACACGACTCGGGCAGCCAGTCAGGCCTTCTCCAGCTGCGCGCTGTTTGTTTCCATAAGTCGCTGTTCGCCATCTTCACTGCATGAGTGAGGAAAATGCCGTAGCAAACAGCAGTCACTTCGGTGTAACGTGCTTCGGTTCCCAGCGAATAAAGCAAATACGCCGCAGGGGCAGTCGTGACTTCGCATACACAGGAAAATCAGTTTTCTGAAAGGAGGGAGAAATCGTAGTGAAGAAAAAAGAAGCAAAAAAGGGTTGCCGGGAAGGTTTGATCCTAACTGCTTACCCAAGAAAATGAGGTGCTTCTTTCAGAATTCTTTTAACCGGGGAGATAACGAATACCTGCCCGCTTCTGTGCATGCGCGATGCCAGCTCTATTTGCCTTGCGACATGTATGAATAGCTAAAATGCTTGGTTCAGGTCCTGCACATAAGTTTAAAATATGTCGTACTTCTTGTCAGTGCTGTTATGTGTATATCACAAATCGGCAATTATTTTGTGGAGGTTGTTACTGGAGGTGTTGGCAAGAATGGCTCTACAGTTGCGGTGAGTGCATTGAAAAATCATAGATCTAAAGAATTTTTTAAAGTGGTTCAAGGAAAAGTTTTCAGCGCTTTCAAAATGCTCTTTCTTTGCATGATTTCTGGATGGCGTTATAATTTTTTTATCGTTTTCAGTCAGAAACCTAGTTTGTGAGATAGTTTTTCCTAAAATCCTGAATTAAAAAAAAATCCTTAGAATTTTTGAAAATTAAGTTTAATTCTGATATTTTTCGTTCATTTGAATCCAGCAGTAGTGTAATTTATAAGAAAACTGTGCTGCTTAATATACCAGTTGAAAAGAAAAATTCTGGAAGAAGTTTGTTTGAGCAGTACTCAGATAGCAGGATTTTCAGGATACTTCTGTTTTGTCACCGTTGATTCCATTGCTAATGATGGTAACACCGTTTTGGATGGTATACAGTAAGTCATTGACAGCGGTTTATGATAACCACATAACACTATTTGCACTTTGTTTTGGGGCTGTCTCAGCTAAAGCCACTGTGAGGTAGGCCTTATAAAATTCTTTTCAAGACTATCAGCTCATTTTGATAACCTTTTTTTGAAAAGGGCGGCGGTAGAGAAACGATTGGGGTGGGCTGTAACATTTTCTGTGGTCTGCTCACTGCGGCTATAATTTGGTGCCGAATTTTCTAAGCTTACCGGGGGATAAACCATCTTCAACTTGCTTTTCAGGTAATCTTTATAGAGAATCACAACTGTCCGCCATGCTTCCTGCCGCTGAAGGCACTTCTTGCACTGGCATTTGCAAGAAACCTGAATTTCACTTTTCTTGGA